AAGATATAAGAGTGTAATTCATACTATTCTTTCAACCTTCTTGTATGCTTCAAATTTCCACATAGAAAGTTACAGTTTAATTTACATGTTCCCTATCAATAACACATATGTCCTCATAATTACCATAAATTGGAAATAGCATAATAGAGCAATAAAATTATGTGCAATCATATATACCTGTAGACATTAAAAATAAATCTTAAGAATTCAAATAAGATATTAAAGCATTATAAATAAATAATCAAATATCTGGCATGTTTCATAGTTGGCTTACCTGACTTTTGGCTATGTAAACAAAAACAAGGAAACTAATATTAAATCATCCTTACTCAAATATCAATAGTCTGTGTTTAACCAGAAAAAAAATCATGTCTTCAGAGTTAAGTTTTTATTTTTATTTTTTGGTTAATCCTCATGGAAGGATAATTTTTCCATTGATTTTTCAGAGAAAATGGAATGGAGGGGGAGAGACAAAAACATCGGTGTGAGAGAGACACATAGATTGGTTGCCTCCCACATGCACCCCAACTGAAGCCAGGGATAGAGCTTGAGATATGTGCCCTGATGGGGAATTAAACCCGCCACAATTTGGTGTATGGGATGACACTCAAACCGTCCACAAAGAAAGTTATAGTTTAATTTACATGTTCCCTATCAATAACACATATGTCCTCATAATTACCATAAATTGGAAATAGCATAATAGAGCAATAAAATTATGTGCAATCATATATACCTGTAGACATTAAAAATAAATCTTAAGAATTCAAATAAGATAAAAGAGCATTATAAATAAATAATCAAATATCTGGCATGTTTCATAGTTGGCTTACCTGACTTTTGGCTATGTAAACAAAAACAAGGAAACTAATATTAAATCATCCTTACTCAAATATCAATAGTCTGTGTTTAACCAGAAAAAAAATCATGTCTTCAGAGTTAAGTTTTTATTTTTATTTTTTGGTTAATCCTCATGGAAGGATAATTTTTCCATTGATTTTTCAGAGAAAATGGAATGGAGGGGGAGAGACAAAAACATTGGTGTGAGAGAGACACATAGATTGGTTGCCTCCCACATGCACCCCAACTGAAGCCAGGGATAGAGCTTGAAACCCAGGTACGTGCTGTTGACTGGAATTGAACCTGAGACCCTTCAGTCAGTGGGTGAATGCTCTAACCACTGAGCAACAAGCTAGGGCCAGGGTTAAATGTTTTGGCCATCAGACTCCACCTTCAAAACAGAGCTTACACACTTTCGAGTATGGAAAATGCCTGAGTCGTTCACTATCCTTAAGGGACAGAATTAAAGGTAGCTCTCCATAGTCTGACTTTTCAAGCTGTCCTTTGCTACTCTCCTCCCAAATTGTCCCCATTCCCACATAGAAGACAGTTAAGTTCAGATCCTCCCATGAGGAGTTAGTAAAACTCACTTTTGTTTTACTTTTACTTGAAATGTGATATTTATAATAACCCTGAAGTTATGGTATCCCTAACCACAATGTAAGACTTCTGTTCCACATGACAACTCACTAAACTCACTAAGATTTCATTGTTTTTGTTTTATTCCTAACTGTTCTTTCTAACAATCCTGACTAACCAGACGCTGAGAAGTTTGTTCAAATACTATATTTAAAAAGCTGCTTTTCGATTATTCACAGTCCACTTCTTGGTGGTGCAAGAGGAAGGTGCACTCTTGGTGTAACCAAGGCTAAGCTTTAAGAAGTTTTCTTTGCCAAAAGATGTCCCAACTTGTACATCTGATTCCATGTTATCTTCCAAGTCCAACCATATTAATAGTTGCAGATAAGGCTCAGTGTGTTATTCCTAGAATTAGCATAATGGGGAAATGATCACTTTTAGGAGTCAGGTACATTTTTTCCCCCAAGAATGGCAAACTGTGAAGAGCTTCTGGAAGGTGGCTCAGCAGAGCCCATGTCAAAAATAGCCTTGAAACATAATTTATTGGTGATTTATCACTAAAGTACAACCCTTCGTGAGATATTACACAAATATCCAGGATGCTACTTTAGATCTTTGGTCTTGGGACAGTTCCCTGTTGCATACCACATTAGTTCTTCTAATATATCTAGTCTATAAAAGCTATTGGCTGTTATGCAGTTTTCTTTTAGGATAAGCTAGTCATAATTTAGTGATTGTCTGATAACTAATCATAATCCAAAGATTACCATCAATTATATTTACTTTTTCAGTGGTAACTCTGCAGATCTGAACTGCATTTCCACCATTTACATTTCTTTAGGCAACAAATAAAAATAAATACTTCCATAGCTGTGTTGCTTTCCTTTTTATGATGTTATATTTCTGATACAGAAAACATTTAACAAACATATACTAACCATGTAGAATAAACAGTGATCATATCTTACCATCTTTCTTCATATTTTCACTTTTTAATAAATAAAGAAATGCCCTGACAAGAAGTTTGCTTATTGGATCCCCAGTTGGGGCCCATAAAGGAGGCAGCCAATAGATGTTTCTCACATAGATGTTCCCCCCCCCACTCTCTCTCTCAAATCAATAAACATATCTTTGGGTGAGGATTTTTTTTTAAAAGAATAAGTAAATAACAGTAATAAAGAAATAATACAATACAATAATAGTCTATATCATTCCTCAGTTTCATTTCTCTTATTACTTTTCCATTATGAATTTTCTAATCATTCTCCAAATTTAGTTTTTAATCATTTATTATATATGCATATATCAATCAATCATATGTAGTATTATTTCATCTTTCTATATTTATGTACATGTATCATATTTTATGTAATTTTTGGTTCATTTTATCTTGTTCTTTATTGATTTTAACTGCAGTGTAATATTGATTCATATAAGTATTTCGGAATTATGTTTGTATTCCTTTATTCATGAAAATGTACCATATTTTGTTGATTTTAAGATGTGTAATATATCACATTTAAGATCTCTGAAATCCAGATAGCATGCTAATAATGATGAGCATGATCTTCGACTTCTCTGGGGAGGACAAAGGTCAGTAAACTGTTTTTAACCCTCACCCTAGGACACTTTTTCATTGATTTTTAGAGAGAGTGGAAGAGAGAGGGAAAGACAGAGAGAAATATCAATGAGAGAGAAACACATCATTGGTTGCCTCCTGCACATGCCCTGACCAGGGCCCGGGCCGGGGAGGACCCTGCAACCAAGGTAAGTGCCCTTGACTGGAATGGAACACAGGACCCTTTGGTCCACAGGCTGATGCTCTATCCACTGAGCCAAACCAGCAAGGGTCTTATATAAAGGGTTTTATTGTAAATAATTTTGGCCCTATAAACAATATCACCACAGTCATAGCTACTCAACTCTGCCATTGTAGCATGAAAGTAGCTAAAGACAACATATAAATGAAGGTACATGTCTGTGTTCTACTCAAACTTTAATTATGGATGCTGACATTTTAATTTCATATGTGTATTGCAAAATATTCTTTTAATTATTTTCTAATTTTAAAAAGTTAATAAAATTATTCTTATCTCATGGGCCAGATAAAGGGCCAGGTTTCACCCACCCACCATAATTTGCTGACACCTGGTATACAGATAATAAAATGACATGCCCTCCTTTATGACATCTGCCAGTTCCCCTAGATTTTATCCCCCTTTTCCTCCTTCCACATAAATCTATCATATACTGACTCCCCAGGATTTCCCTCCTTCTCTTCTATTAATGTTCTCATTCCCCTCTTATGACACCTGCTAATCCTTCCCCAGTATTTCCCCACAGTCCTTCCCTTCTCCTGTCTTGCGACACCTTGTGGCTCTCCAATATTGTCACAAGCTGTCTAAGAGCAAGAAGCTCAGCAATATACATCCCTGCCAGCTTCACTCTCCCAGTGTGGGTGCTTCTGGTCTCTGCTGCCTGCTAAGTCGGGACTGAAAATTGGACCTGGGACAAAGGATCTCATCTGAGTGAGGTCCCTGCATCTGGACAAAGACTCATCCTTCAAGTGAATACGAGGACAGTGAGGAATTCTTCCAATGCAGCCTGAGCTGTGGACCTGAGGCATCCTGCCCAGGAGCCTCTCTACTGAAAATTGGACCTGGGACAAAGGATCTCATTTGAGTGAGGTCCCTGCATCCGGACAAAGACTCATCC